AAAGAAATTGTAGATTTAACATTCCTTCTTTTATGTTTCAAATCTTTCCACAACACAAGGAAGGAATAAAATAAAGAAACTGTATTCAACTTTTCATGAACCAATCATTTTTATTGAACAAGTTGAAAGTGTCCTTAAAGATAGATAAAAACGGAAGCGATTTCAGTTGGAAAATTCAAGTTTCAAGAATTTCTAGTTTTGAGATCAAAATTAAAAAAAATATTTCTTCATTTACGTGATATGACATCTTTTCAGAACTTGTATTAAGAACATGCAATTGTTTTATTATACTCCCTTCTCTTTAATTTTATTTGATTTGCATTTTATGTCATTCAATGAATTTGAACATCATCTATAAATCCTTTTTTTAAAGAATGTAAATTGGATTTTAAGTGGTTAAAGCTCATAGATTAAGTCAAGAAAGAACAAAACCTTTCATTTTTTCTTTATAAATCTGAAAGGTTGATTTTTTCTAACTTTTACTTGTTTGCTATTATTTTTATTGAATATATCTACGAATTATTTAGGAATTATCTATCAATTTTTTTTTCAGAAAATAAAAAAGCAATTCTTTTTAATGTTTTGTTAAAAAAAAGTCTCTTGTGTAAACACAATAGGATACATGCTTTGTTTCATTGATATTAATATCTATCAAAACACACCAAATTTCAAAGAGGCAGTGAACATTTACTAATAAATATAAATTTTAATTATCACATTCAATTAAGAGGCCTTATTAGGGGTTCAGGTAGACTTTGTCTGTGTTATCTTGATGTGATTAGATACTTCAATATCAAATGATAAAATTTTGTACTCAAGTTCAAGTTTAACAGTTTATTTTATTCACCCAAATTAGAGTATTATTAAAAATGTACCATAAATAAACTTAAGATTTAATACTTGATATATGTAATTTAAAGCACTGAACAGATATTTCTTCATACAATAAATATTTTATTTTATTGAGAAAGATTTGAAAAAAAAATAAACGTCACTGCTCAATATTAACATCGAATAAACAAGAGATTTTTGTAAAATACTTATGCCCCAACTTCCCCCAAAATTTGAATTTTTTGAAAGTCCAAAAAGGCATAGCTCTGTCAAAAATGGCGCGATCCTACCAAAAACAGAAGTTGACCTAGATAGTCATCTGTTAAATCTGTATACTAAATTTCATTTCAGTATGTACAACCTCGGCGAAGAAAATGAACGGCTACTGCAAAAAATTGGAATTTTTCGAAGTCCAAGGGGCATAACACTGCCAAAAATGGCACAAGCGTACCAAAAAAAAACTTGACCTAGATATTTATCTAATATATTTGTAAACCAAATTTCATTTCAGTATGTGCAACGGTTGTGAAGAAAATGAACAGAAACTAAGTAGACCGACAGACAAACCGACCGACCGACCGACGCCATGCAGCAAAGCAATATGCCCTCCATTCTTTGAAGAGGGACATAATAATAAGAAAATTTTGCTGTAGATTAAGAATTTATCCTTAAATAAATACAGGTGTAGTTAATTCATAGAGGTAAACTCTACCTGTACCCCTTAGAGGGTCCCTTAATTGAGTGTGATAATTATATGTTTGTTTTTGGCCCGAAAAATGTCGGTGGATATAAACAACCTTGCTCACATTAAAAATTCAAAATTTTATTTTAAAAGATTTAAGGTTTAAATAAATTCCATGAAAAAGCATGTATATTAAATATAGGCATTCAGATGTATAATTTAAAAAATATTATTTTGATTATTTACCTTTTTACACCACATTACAGCAGTTAATTATCTTCCATATGTGATCCATTAGACAAAACTCAATCGTGTTCATGCTTTGAGATACCTGCACACCTTTTCCCATGATTAAATTAACAGTGACTAAATTAAGGTTTATCTTAATTATGTTTTCTTGGTTATCTGTTTTAATTTCTTATATCATTTTTTTCATCTTACAATGGACTAGATCAATGAAATTCCTCTATTTTTATTGTCATATCATGTAAACAACATTGTAAATGCTAGAGATCCCCGACTTTCAAAATACAGATGAGTAAAAATTATTATAAATTTATATATAAATAAAAAAATTAAAATATTCTTTACATTTTTGTTGTTGCGTGATTGTTTCCATTGAAGCTTATGGGGAGAAAAAATAAACAGTTTTTTAGTCATTGCCATTATTATTAAGTTTTTTTTTTCTTTTTCTTGAAATTGTTAATTTTACTAAATTCACGAACGTTCATGCGCACCAATGTTAATGAAGTGGGATTAATGGGAAAATGCATTTTTTAAAACTTGATAATAGGAATCAAGTTTGCTATTTTAACTTAACGTAGAACCTATGTCGTATGACATCATAACTAGTGAATGTGTTTAGCCTGTGCTAGATCCATTATGACGTCATAATTAATTCAATGTCATTTCCCGTACTTTTCGGCTTCAGTATAGAAATGGTAGAAAAAACTGCATTTTGAAATTCACAGAATTCAATTTAAAATCATGCTGAAATAATCTTCTTAATATTCGATTTATATTTATTTTTTAATATAATGCTTAATCACAATATATTTCTTGAATTAGAGAAACCTGTAGGCACCTTTCATTTAATAGATGTTGACCTCAATTAAGTTGACAAATCCAAGACTAAATTTTGTGATGAAATTGCCATGTATACAACAAACTGTAATAATGTAAATGGTATGTAACTATTTTGAAGGAATGCAAAAATCTTTTTTAAAAAAAAGTTGCCAACTACCGGTAAATAGTGTAATATCTTGATGAAATGTGTCTAATTCAAAGATGTACGTGTTGTAGATTGTGTGTACATTTTGTGATATCTATCATGAAATGATGTGCATTCCTTTTCATAATTATTTGTTACTTATTCATATTCTTGGAGTTTTATTTCAATTTCTCTATTAAGTATGATCTTTTAAATTAAAAGTACAATTTTTTATAAACATTTTTAAGCTGAAAGTAGCCCCGAACAGTCATTTAATAATAAAATCTGTGTAAGTGCAAAAAGGTCAAGAATATTAGTATCCGTAAATAACCTATCTCTCATTCGTTAGAGGGGAAAGGTATATATTTTAATCACTTTTTGTAATCAATTGGGTATGTTCTTTATTATATTAAAGATTGAAAACATTGTGACAAAGACTTCTGATATATATTTACAAATGTAGGGTGGAAAATTGACTGAAAATAAATACAGTTCATTTGCCTATAGTTTTGAAAATGTGGACTTATCTTTTATGTCAATTGAATAAAAAAGAATTTATTCTCGGGAAATATTGTTTAATACTGTTCAATTAATAAACAATAAAAACAACGATGTTTAAAGAAGCAATTCTGGGATTTTGTTGTCTTCTTTGCATGACAAGTACCCCTAAAATGACTGAAATTGTGAAGTCGCAGTATGTATTTATCATTCCATGTTTAACTGGCTGCACTACATTTAATAACAAGGAAACATGTCATGTGCTTTTAACTGATTGATAAGCAAGTGCTAATTTATCATTATGAAAAGTTTGAAAATCTTGTGACAAAGACTTCTCTGACATAGGTTCTACCTTAAATGTTTTAAATCTTTCAAAATCTACAAACTACAAACACCGAAATATTTATAAAGTCACACACAAATAGTTTTCAATTTCATTTACTGACCTACTTATGTTTTTTTGAAAAAGTACTTTAATTTGCTATCGAGCTTTAAAAATTTTTTTTTATGAATCTGATAAGATGCATGAAGATAAATATATTTCATCAGCTTAATTTATTTGTAAAGTATTTTGCAGCAGAGCAATTAAGTATTTATGATTTAAACAAAGAAATAAAATTATATTAATGTGCATGATAATGACATATACCAATAAGCAAATATAAAGTCTAACAATCAATCATAACTGAATACCTTTATTAATAAGAGTATCACGATTTTGATTCTTAATTTATTTTTTTTTAAATGTCGGCGATTTGATATGATCACAGAAATATTTTCTTTTGTAATATGACATTATATATAATGATTTTACAATAAAATTATTTTAATTGCTATAATAAATTCCTTTACACATTAAAAAAATTTCCAACATTTTTTTATTAAAAAAGACGCTGACAGCTTTGTATTCTTTTAGTGGCAAAGATTTCCAATTAATATTATTCCAGTCGGACTCAGTACAACTTCGATTTGTATCAAAATAAAAAGAGACATAACTTTTGTCTTTCGTTTTTTTCTATTTTCTATATATGATATAGTCTAACTTTTTTTATAAATGAAGTTTTGTTTTGAACGATAAGGTTTAAAAATTATATAAGAAGTATTTTTTGTCTTTATACATATATTTTTCAATAAAAAATACAAAAAAAAATGTCTTCTTAAGTCCCTTTGAAACCATTTATTTAACACAATATCGAGCATAGTAAAAATAAATTTAAAATACCTAAATATTTTCTTTCAACAAATCATAAATATAAAATGACCATTAAATGAATGAAAAGTCAATTAAGAGCTTTGTTTGGAAATCCTAGTCAACGACAATAATACTTTAAAATTAAAATAAATATTCAAATATTTTCTTTAACATTCGTGTACAGTTTTGCGTGAGATTTATTAGGAGAACGAGAGATTAGAGTAATGAACTTTTTTTATAGTTAACAACATAAAAAATATATACTTAACCAAGATTGTTTAAAACGATAATTAGGGAAGGCGTTTCAATTGAAACACGTAAGTTGCAGGGGCTAGGTCAAGTACAGTTTTAATTGACAGAATAGAACATTCAATTCACATATTCACATTCCCTGTACCTAGGGTAGGGTTCCAGAGAGAGAGAGATAAATCCGCTTTACTGAAATGCATGGATGAACAGCTGAACAAAACACACACACACACACACACAGAGATAGCGAGAGAGAGAGAGAGAGAGAGAGAGAGAGAGAGAGAGAGAGAGAGAGAGAGAGAGAGAGAGAGAGAGAGAGAGATAGTATAATGTCCTACCTGTTGCAGAGATGATTTTATCCTTTTCAACTTTTTTTTTCAAATACTTAAAGTAAGTATTTTGATTACGTGTTTACACTGCTTTAAACTGTAAAACACTACGGAATTTTTACACCATACGAAAGTACGTAATGTTGAACAAAAAAAAAACATTTAGTCAATTGAACAGAAAAGTACATATATTTCTAAGCCGGCTGCATACAAAAGAATCACGTAGGTCGTACACAGCAGAATTAAGGAACCAAATTCACGACTCAAATATGTAAAATGTAACTGTCTACACACGAATATGAATATTGAATAAACTTCAAACAAAAGTATTTATCACATATCAATTCCATTCGATACAATAATAATCACACAAATGTGTATAGCAAATTATCTGCACGCGTTCAAACTTGCTTTCTGTAACCCGGCTGCAATAAATGTGTTACTTATACTTTCTCCGACGACAAAATATTTCAGTACTGATTTCCTTTTTTTGAGACCTAGCTGTGTCACATAATACTGAAGTGTATGGTGCACTTTTATTATGAAAATACACATGTTTGAAGAAGACCATTGACAATTTATACAATCATATTTTCATTAAACTTCTACATTCATTGGAACATATATATTACATGTGTGATGTGATGTTTAGTGTCCAAAATATCTTGGAAGATGAAAATGTTAAGTTAAAGATGGACAAAGTGGTAAAGAAATGATAATATTTGGGCTGCATCATACAATATTTAGCTCACCTGAGCCGAAGGCTCAAGTGAGCTTTTCTGATCAAAATTTGTCCGTCGTCTGTCGTTGTCGATGTCGTCGTCGTCGTAAACTTTTCACATTTTCATCTTCTTCTCAAGAACCACTTGGCCAATTTCAACCAAACTTGGCACAAAGTACCCTTGGGTAAAGGGGTTTCAATTTTGTTCAAATAAAGGGCCGAGCCATTTTCCAAGGGGAGATAATCATGAATTTGTTAAAAATTAATGGCATTTTTAAAAAATATTCTTCTCATGAACCGCTTGGCCAGGAAATATGAAACTCGTGTGGAATCATCCTCAGGTAGTGTAGATTCAAGTTTGTTCAAATCATGACCCCTGGGGCAAGGGTGAGGCCAAAATGGCCGGCCCAAATTTTATATAGGAAAAATCTTTTAAAATCTTCTTCTCCAGAACTATTGGGCCAGGAAAGATGAAACTCATGTGAAATCATTCTCAGGTAGTGTAGATTCAAGTTTATTCAAATCATGTCCCCTGGGGCAAGGGTGGGGCCAAAATGGCCGACCCAAGTTTAACATAGATATATAGGAAAAATCTTTAAAAATCTTCTTCTGCAGAACCACTGGGCCAGGAAAGATGAAACTCATATGGAATCATCCTCAGGTAGTGTAGATTCATGTTTGTTCAAATCATGACCCCTGGGGCAAGGGTGGGGCCAAAATGGCCAACCCAAGTATTACATAGGAATTTATAAAAAAAATCTTTAAAAATCTTTTTTCTCATGAACCTCTAGGACAGGAAAGATGAAACTCATGTGGAATCATCCCCAGGAAGTGAAGATTCAAGTTTGTACAAATTATGACCCCTGGGGCAAGGGTGGGTTCAAAATGGTCGACCCAAATTTTACATAGGAATATATAAAAAAATCTTTAAAAATCTTTTTCTCCAGAACTATTGGGCCAGGATAAATGAAACTCATGTGGAATCATCCTCAGTTAGTGTAGATTTAAGTTTGTTCAAATCATGACCCCTGGGGCAAGGGTGCGGCCAAAATGGCCAACCCAAGTTTTAAATAGGAATTTATAAAAAAAAAATCTTTAAAAATCTTCTTCTCATGAACCTCTTGGACAGGAAAGATGAAACTCATGTGGAATCATCCCCAGGAAGTGAAGATTCAAGTTTGCACAAATCATGACCCCTGGGGCAAGGGTGGGTTCAAAATGGTCGACCCAAGTTTAACATATGGATATATAGGGAAACCTTTAAAATTTTCTTTACAAGTACTTCAAAGCTATGATTAGTGATATTTATATGGAATCATCCTCAGGTAGTGTAGATTCTAGTTTGTTCAAATGATGATTGCCTGGAGGGGTGGGAGTAAATTCAAGCCCGATGTGCTCAGGTGAGCGCTGTGGCCCCTGGGCCTCTTGGTTTTTTTTATTTTGAGGTATAAACTCAGCAAAACAAGAATATATGTGAAAACTGAAGTCTACTTCATCAGATAGTTCTGTAATGTAGTTAAAAAAAACAACAAGAGCGCATATCAAACTTTTATCTTATTAATATATTATTTCTTTTTTGTACCTTTATACTAAATCAACTCTAAAATTGAAGTTTTTTTCGTAGGTTTAACAAAGGCATAAAGTCGAAGCCCTTGCCAAAGGAAATACATAGGTCAAATGTTAAAGCACTAGCAGCAGCTATTAAAAAGTTATAGCCAGCGTTAAAGTTTGTCAAAAGAAGGTCAAAGTCCAAGGTCAAAATTATTGGTATACAAAGGGAGGCGTTGTCATGTGAATTTCACTTTTGACAAATGATTACGCAGCTAGGTTAAGGCCGCCCATAGGAAAAAAAGCCTTAAAATATCCCCAAAAAATCAATATAATGTTGATATTTTTTTATTAGCATGAGTTTTAATTTAATGGAAACTATATTTATGCATATGTATGTATGGGGTCTCAACGGAGTTCGGCCAACGCGACTTCACGTACATCAGCTGTTTGTCACGTGACATGTTTAAAATTAGAAAAAAAACTGTACGGATATAAAGAACGTAAAAGTTCAACGATATACAAATAATTTTTCCGCATGAAATTGGTCGTGTTTTCTTTAAGACAAATTTCTTAACCCGAAAAGTGCTGGGAGCAACTTCTCCATGCCCAAGAAATATATGAAATTTAGCCGGCTTTTGATAAACTATGTGCATATACACTATACGCATTGAAGAAATCTAAAACTACGGAAAAACTCAACAACGCACAACTTGCTCCCAGCACTTTTCAAAATAGTAGGGACAATAGCTACATAGGTATGAAATATTAAAATTTATAATCAAGCGTATATCGTTGAACTTTTGAGATTTTGGAGGGGTTGTACATGTGATTGTAGTACGTTTCTGTATAAAAGTGCATGACTGCGGCTTTATAAGAGACCTAATAGTTATCAATTAAATAAGACTGTGAACTATTGATAAATGCATTCAAAAATATTAATCAATTATAGTCAGATCATGCTTACTTAGATTTAATTTTCATATTTTCAGTTCAGCTAATAGCTTTATCTGCGTCTCAAGTACAGAGAAACTGCGTGTCAAACTAGCCTATGACGTCATATCTGTTAGTACAGCGAGATCAAGTTGCCATTGATTTTACATTCTAATAGTGTTGTAATGACAAGATAAGTTACACATTGATTAATATTTACAATTATCATGAGAAATCAAAGTATGTAAGAGTATATGAAAAAGAAAATTATTATTTATTCGCCGAGATTCATTTGTACAATTTCACCGTGACGTCATAATCGAATTCCCGAGGCTCTGCATACTCTGATCTACCTTGGGTAGTCCTTAACATAGTTGCGTACATTTATTATATTAATCAACTAAAATTATGTCCATAGGACATAAATGCCCCGCCGAGGATATATTTGTAAAGCAACATGAAAATTTGTATGTATATAAAATTTGATCAGAATATCCTGAATAATGATGCAGCTGAATTGCTTGTTTGGAAAACATAGGTCAGATCCAGCATCCGAAGCAAGTCTGGTAATGTCCATCCCTAGATTATTCATCCATGCAAGTTTGGTTCAGGTAGGAATTATAATTACTTGGGAATGAAAATATAGGTCAGATCTAGCATCTGAAGCAAGTCTGGTAGTGTCCATCCCTAGATGCATCATCCATGCAAGTTTGGTCCAAGTAGAGCTTATAGATTCTGAGGAATGGATCTGCTCCAAGAACTTAAACCTGGTCACTCGTCTGGAAAATGTAGGTCACATCCAGCATCGGAAGCAAGTCTGGTAGTGTCCATCCCTAGATGCATCATGCATGCAAGTTTGGTCCAAGAAGGGCTTATAGTTCCTTGGGAATGGACCTGTTCCAAAATCTCTAACCTGGTCACTCGTCTGGAAAATGTAGGTCAGATCCAGCATCCGAAGTTAGTCGGGTAGTGTTCATACCTAGATGCATCATCAATGCAAGTTTGTATCAACATGTGAAGTTTGATAACACCATCTTGAATGGTTATCTTTAAAACTAAGCTAAACACTAATTCAAAAAAAGTGAGGCCAATGTCAAATGAAAGGTCAAGGTAAAAAAATGTTGATGCAGTTGCATAGCTCTCATCAATATCTATCAGCATATGATGTTATATCTTGGATGGTTTCTTGGAAACTGAGCTTTGAACAGGGCTAAACGCAAAGTGTGACGGAAGACGGAAGGACGGAAGAACAGAAGGACGGAAGGACGGAAGACGGACATGACAAACACTATATGCCCCGGCCATATTCATGGCGGGGCATAAAAATTTTATACAAGTGTAAAGCCAGACAAAAATCAAGGACTAAATGCTAAACAAACATATCTATGGAAAGGTTTTCTCAAAATGAATGAACATGTGAAGCGAAAAAAGTCCCACCACCAGCATTTTAAACGTTATCAGCTTTCAGTTAAGTACATTCTTGAAAAATGGGTCAAATACCTAAGTCAAAGATCAAGTTGTCTAAGATGTTAAAACCGAACAAAAAAAAATTGTCACAGGACTTGTAAAGTGTGAGAGCAATAAATATAAGGAATCAAATAAAGTTAATGGGCAACGTTAAAGTATTTTTGAGGATACAATTACACCAAACTGACAACATAAAGAATATTAATTCTAACCAGGCCACAGGATAAGGAAACAGACTTAGACTTAAGACAAATTTCAATCACCAATTTTATTAATTTTGGAAATGATCTTAAAATTTGCAAATAATAACATTTTAATATTGAAATATATTTGAAAATTTGATCTGTTTGTCTTCCATACAAGTACAAGATGAATCTTTTATTTGAAGCTTCAAATGGCTCATGATCGGGGGGCCAGGTGAATACAAAAATAACAAACAATTGACGGCACTAAAAAGAAAGTGCTAGAACAATACATAAAGTCAGATTCATGCCAAAGAAATCAATTGCACACAGATTAAAATATAAAACTGAGTATGAATATGTATAATTAATATCTTCCTCATTCTTTTTCTGACAACATTCTGACTGTTAAAGTACTGTTATCCTGTCTTCTATCACAGATACTGAAATGCTTGTTGAAACTGTAAACATCCTCACTCTGAATATTAGTATGTCATTGGAGGGGTGCAGAGTTATAAATGTAAATATATGCAGTATAAAATAAATGTGGTTCACCTACAGTATAAGAATACGTACACTTTTCATTTAACTCCCTCC